GAGCATTTGCACCAAAGACAAATTCCTTGTGTGTCCAATCACACTTGGCCAATAACGAATTTCTATTCTATTCTAATTCTCTAGGTTGCTTCCTTCTTTGCACAAAAACACACACTCTCCCTCTCTCTATACAGGTAGTCATCAACTTACAAGAGTTCATTTAGTGACCATTCAAATCACCTCACGATCAGGAGGCTGTGAGTTCAATCCTAGGTAGAGGCAGATATTTCCCCTCTCTGGGCACACTGGGAATACATCTGCTGGAAAAAAAACTCCACACTGTCAACAGGAAAGGCATCCGGCCAGTAAACACTAATAACTCGATTCAGTTGCCCAGACCAGACTCCATCCCGGAAAGGATTATGGGGTCATTAGAAGAAGATGATGATGATTTAGTGTCTGTTCAAAGTTCCAACAGCACTGAAAAAAAGTAATTTGTGACCGTTTTTCACGTGATCAAAATTCAGACGCTTGGCAACCGACTCCTATTTACGACGGTTGCATTGTCCTGGTGACCTTGTGATGAGCAAAGTCAGTGAGGAAGCCAGGTTCGCTTAACAACCAGCTTACTAACTTATCAATCGCAATGATTCACTGAACAATGGTGGCAGGAAATGTCGGGAAAACTCACTTAACAAATGTCTCACTTAACAGGAATTTGGGGCTCCATTGCGGTCGTTAAGTAGAGGAGTACCCGTATTTAAATGGTTATATCCCAAAAGGTGAACTCGGGGCCATTCCTGCCCCGGTGGGATCCAGCTTAAACCCGCATCACTTGGTCTTCTCTTGAGATAGCCCTGAGATTTCATTTGAACCCAAAGGGACAAGCCTGAATTACCGACTACTTGGGGAGATTGGAAAAACCAAATCCCATCCCACGGCTACTATTATTATCTCCTGACATGACTTGAATTAAATTATTGGGAGGAAAAGCTTCTTTTGGGGGGGTTCCCCTGAACTCTCAGACAAGGCCGTTGGGATAGGCCTGTTTGTGAGAAAGTTGGGGGCACCAACGCAGGGTTGGTATAAGCTAGAGAAGCCTTTTAAAGTATAATAAACTAGCTCGATCCCCGTGCCTTGATACAAAACTATATGATCGGGCTTAGTTTTTTAGGGGGAAAGAATTCTGCCTCTGACTACCAGCATCCATCGGTATTCATCTGGCTAGCGTCCTGTCAGTGTGTGAGAGAGTGGAGGGCTGTTTGGAAACTGAAGCCGTATGTGCTGTGTGAGCAAGAAGGAGACAGCAAGGAGCCTGGGCGTGGCTTAGCTCCACTGTTCTGTACTAAAGCTGCTTGGTGCTATGAAACTAAAACTGAAACTGAAATTCCTCTCCTCTGCTTGTGTTTTGCATTTGGAAGAGATTTCTTTTCAGTTGGGGAGGGGGAGTACAGCTCCTTAGCATCAGAGCGTGTTAATAATCATAACAATGATAATATAGGAAATGCTAATGCTCTGACAGACCAATAGAAGAATAAGTACCCGCCTGGATAAACACAAAAATGCAGTAAAAAAAGCTGGAACACACTTCCTCACTAGTCCAACACATGGAAGCCACGGGTCATAGCATCGATTTCGATGGCACCCAAACCCTACCCACTATAGAAAACCCCAGCTACAGAATCATCAGAGAAGCCACAGAGATTGAAAAAAGATCTGAAAGCATGAATAGAAGAGATGACTCTACCAGACTGTCAATTATCTGAAAGCCTGTACTCACAAACAAAAAAATCTCTACACCACAAGCCAAACAAACACCTGGGCACAAACAGACCCCCACCCCACCCCAATACCTCCAGCTCAAACACACCCCAACCAGCCACCCAGATGAAACCTAGCTTCCTAATAAATGATAGCCGGCCATTCACCCAAAGCCAAACCACACTAAAGGCCTCCAATACAGGAACACAATGTTGCCAGCCAATCAAGACAAAAAAAACCCCGCTACAAAACAGACAGAAGATATTAGAAACACCAATCGAGCAGAACACAGCAAACTCCAAGACCAATAAACACAGACCAAGACTTCCAACCAATCAGTATGAAGAAAAAAACCATTCTGGCACAGCAGTAGGCTAGCACCAAATTAAAAACAGAAACGGCTGTGAAAGCCTGACTCACAGACGAACAGTATACAGAAGCCTGATGATGGCAGATGAGATTCTGCCGAAATGTCGCTACAACTTTAAAAGCACCACTATAATGACGTGGGAAAATACCCAAACAAAGCTGAATAACATACATACATACATACATACATATAACTATTCTAAAAATACAAGTTCCAGGTATACTTGTAAAAGAAGAAACAGACATCCTGTGATCTCCGGAACTTAAAAGTACATTTAATGTACTTACTAAGCTTTATATAAAAGCAGAGATCTCTGTAACGGTAGCTTAATACTCTGACAGAGGTTGACAAAAGCTTAATAAGTACATTAAATGTATTTTGTGTGCGCGTGTGTGTGTGTGTGTGTGTGTGTGTGTGTTGTGGATGCTTCATCCCTAGAGGCTTTTAAGAAAACACTGGACAGCCACTTCTCTAAAATGGTATAGGGCAGGCGTTGGCAACCCACGGCTCTAGAGCCGCATGTGGCTCTTTGAGCCCTCTGCTGTGACTCCCTGTTGGCTGGCCCCACCCCTTGTCCTCCCCTCCCAGTCACTTTTCGCTTCGCCTGAGAAGGTAAAACACAGAAAACAGAAATGAGAGGGAGGGAGGGAGAGAGACCCATTTCACCAGGAGCCACAAATCCTGGGTGGGTGTGGTGGGGGGTGTCATGTGACTGGGTGGGAGTGACTGAGTTGGCCACACCTACCCAGGTTTTGCGGCTCCTGGTGTTTTCTTTTTTGTGGGAAACGGGTCCAAATGGCTCTTTGGGTGTTTAAAGTTGCAGACCCCCGGTATAGGGTCTCCTGATGGAGTAGGGGTGGAGGGGTAGAGTAGAACAGTGGTTGCCAACCTGTGGGCCAGGGACCACTAGTGGTCCATGAGAAAATTTTGGTGGTCCGCGGAGAAATGTCACCCCCCAGCAATTAATCTAGGCTGCACGGGAACACAAGGCTGCACCGCCCACATGGCCTGCGGGAACACAAGGCTTGCACCGCTTGCATTGCGAACAACACGAGGTAGTGAGGAGGGGGGGAAAGGGTGGAGGGGGAAACTTGCCCCACTCGCTCCACGCACCTGTCCTGTCCATCAGGCTGCTTCTTTCTTCTTCTGCTTTTGGCTGAACGCAAGGAAAGCAGCCAAAGTCTTTCTTCCTCTCCCCCAAACTTCGCCAGAAATGAGTCTTTGGGACCCTGCAAGGCCTCCTGCTCCAAGAGGCTGCAAAGATTCATTTCTGGTGGAGTTTGGAGAAGAGAAAGAAAGACTTCTGCTGCTTCTGCTGTTTTCCTTGCATGAAGCCAAAAGTCTCTCCCTTTCTCTCTCTCTTTCCCCTGAGAACGGAGCGGGAGACGGTATCCTGCGATCCCAAATAAAGAACGATCGATCGGTAGGAAAACGGGGTGGGGAATTTCCCTGCAGACTTTTTTGGGGGGGGATTTTCCCAGGGTCTCTGGTCCGCGGGATTTAAAAGGATGAGTTTGGTGGTCTCTGAAGTCCAAAAGGTCAACCAGCCAGGCAGGCATTTTCTAGCCTGATGCCTTTAACTGCTACATACCAAGCTTAGTCTATACCTCATCAGTCTCAAAGGTGTGACAAAAAGGGGTTGCCTGTGGTTTTCCTAAAGGGAAAAAAAATATTTCATGGGAGAACCAGGTTTATAACCCATCGATCGCGGCCACCACTGACAGCTCCAGGCCGGAGGGACCTTTAACCTGGCTGCACTTCACAAGAGACGCTTCCCAGCCCTTCCTCGCGCATGCCGGCCCGACACTGGTGAATGCACTCGGGGACCTATTTATTAACAATTATTTGGGCACTGTGTGTTTTGCAGCTCGGCCCCCAACGCCACGCCAGGAAGCAGCCAGAAGGGGCTACGATAAACCTCGCCAAAAAATGCCATGCGGCCTGCTGCTTTGAAAAAATAATAATAATTAATATTCATCGCTGAGAAGTTGGGCCCCGGGCTGAAGTGTCGGCCTTGCCAAGAAGGTGCCCCCAAGGGTCATAACGCCGGGAACGGCTGCCAGCAGGGAAGGAGAGATCCCTTCTGCCGGAGGGAAAGATCCCTTAAAAGGGTGCCTATGTGTGCAGGAAAGGATAAGGATTTTTCTTTTTCCTTTCCCCTTTTGAGAGTGTGTCCAACTGGGTAGCAATTAAACATGAATTTGCCTGGGAGACCCAGTGTTTGCTAGTTGCCATGGCGGGCCCAGAGAAAGCTCCTTTCTCCCCCCCACCTGCCCCCAGGTGATGCTTGCTTCCCTAGAGGAAGCCAGCCAGCGAGTGGGGCTCAGCGTACGAGCAGTGTGAAAACACAGCCACCTTCCGCGCGCCCCCCCTCCTCCTCCTGCGCTGCTCTATAATGAGGGAACCGCCGAGGGAAATAGCTTTGAGGTCCTGCGGACGCACGGTTGCTTTTCACCTCTCCTTGCAGGCACTAATTGTACAATTCCCACGGCGTTTTGCACGCTCAGGCGCCCTCCTTCTCCCCTCCTCCTCTTTACGCCGCAGGTTCAAAGGGGGAGGAACCAAGGAGCAAGGCCCCCTGAATCCATAAAGGCTCGGGGGCTGCACCCATGTGACATGCCGAACCCAGAGAGGTGAAATTCACCCACCCGAGAAATTTACTTACGTGGGGAAGGTCACCCTGAGACCCTCCACAAACTTTCTTGTCCAGGCTCCCCCCCCCCCCATCCACACGTGGGGTGGATGAGGATCTTGTAAGAAATTGGGGGGGGGGGTTTCCTTTTGCTCAGATTTTTCCTGGGGAGGGGAGGGGAGGAAGAGGAGGGGTGGGGGAGACAACAACCCTGAGAGGTCCAAACCCACCCACCCTCTTCCCTCCCACCCGGCAAATGAATTTTGTCGTGTAAAAAAATAATTATGCATGCCCAACCTGGTCTCTGTAGTCCTCCGGGTATCGTTTCCGCACCTCAGCATCTGTAAATAATTGACAGATAATATTAATTGGCTTTGAATTGGTGAGCAAGCAGAGAATCGCACATTAATATTTGATCAGAAGATGATAGCGGCCTTGGCAGGAGATGCAAACCAGGTCAGGCGGAGGAGGAGGAGGAGGAGGAAGAGGCAGAGAGCAGGAAGGTGAGACATTGCAAGTTTGCCTTTTTGGTCTCCTTCCCCAAGACCAAGAGGGGATGTTAAGGCCAGCAGCGCCACGCTTAGCGGCAGATGAATGAACGCAGGGAGGGAAAAACGGAGCCCAGCGCTGTGTTTGCTAAGCGAGCGTGGCTTCAATTGTGCTTCCATTTGTTCTGTTGGTGTGTTTTTTTTTATTTTATTTCCCATTATCAGTGGTTTCTTTGGGTGAATGACAGGAGCAGACTTTATAACCAGAAGTGGGGGAGAGGATTTACCGAACAATGGCATGGCCTAGGAGTGGTGGGGGGGGAATTTTACAACTCTTTGATAATAAAGGATGGAAAAGGAATTGAGCTGTGTCAGAAGGCTGGTTTAAAAAGGCCGGATTGGGGAGAGAGAACGGGAGAACGAGAGAGAATGAGAGAAAACAGAGAGAGAGAGAGAGAGGGAGAAGGGAGAGAAAGAGAAAAGGGAGAAAGAGAGGGAAGAGAAAAACACAGAGAGAGAATGAGACAAGAGAGAATGAGGAGAAATAAGAAGAATAAGAGAAAAGAAAAAGATAACCAGAAAAGAAAGAAGAAGCAAGAAAACAAGAGAAAGAGGAAAAGAATGAGAGATAATGGGAAAAAAGAGTATGAGAGAAAAGAAGACGAGAATAAGAGAAAAGAAAGAGAGGAAAGAAAGAGAATGAGAAAACAGACAGAGAGAACGAGAGAATATAAGAGAAGAGAGAGAAGAGAATGAAAAAAGAGAGAAT